TGGAGTTGATGAGTTGTGGCATGGTGAGCACGAAAGCCAAACTGGAAGTTTGGAATGCTGTTTTTGGATTGTGCTATGGTGATGATTCGCTTGAGAATGATTTTTTCCAGGATTTTGCCCAGGACTGGTAACAAGCTGATGGGCCTGTACGAGGAGGGGTTTTCGGGAGGCTTTTGAGGTTTGAGAACAGTGACAATAACAGATGCTTTCCAGGTGGTTGGGAAATAAGATAACCGAAGGGCAGCATTATAAATATGAGTAAGATGAACGATCGCTTTCAGAGGTAGGTTTTTGACGACTTTGTTAGAGATGAGGTCATGACCTGGCGATTTGTTGTTTGCCAGTTTTTTTATAATACCCACTAGTTCCGCTGGGGAAGTAGGTTTTGTAGGTAGGGCCATAGGAATAGTTAACTGAAGAGACTCCATGACTATTGACATGTGTGGTGCTGGTGTAGGAATCATATGAGGTTTGAAAACGCCCGATAATTCTTCAGCGAGGATATCTGCTTTTTCTTTGTCTGTAGAAGCAAGTGAGTTGTCCGCTCGACGGAGAGGAGGAGGGGAGTCCTTAATTCGTAGTAATGACTTTGTCTTGCGCCAGAGAGATCCATTTGTAAAAGAAAGGTTTTGTAGGTGGTTTTTGTAGAGATTGGCTTTATGTGTTTTTAGTAGGGCCTTAAGTTTATTGGAAATAGAATTGTATTTTGTCTTATCTACTGGGTAATGAGTTTGTTGCCATTTTGATCTGGCTCTGCGTTTTTCTGCAATAAGATGTCTTAGTTCCGGTGGTAGGTTGGGTGCTTGAGAATAAGGTGGGCGCTGGGTTGATGCATCCTTGGCAGAGATTTGAATAAGATCAGAGAGTTTGGCGATAGAATGGTCGATATCAGAAGGTGATTTTAATTTGGTGTTAAGATTAATTTTGTTTGAAACGGTGGCTCTGAATTCATTCCAATTTGTAGTACCAGGAGTAATGGTTGGTCTATTTTGCTTCACATTGGGTTGGGCATTGATGAGAAGTAATACAGGTGTATGATCAGAAGCTGGATCGTTTAGGTTGACGACTTCAGTGGAAAAGTGGTTAGGGAGATTAGTGATAAAAAAGTCAAGGGTATCGGGGTGACGGTTGCCATGTGATGGCCAATAGGTTGGAGAGCACGGCGCTAACACCTTGAGGTGATTAAGCGAGATGAAGTTGTATAGAGCACGACCCCTGGTGTTGGTGGAGCAGCTCCAAGTTTGGTATTTTGCGTTAAAGTCAGCACCGATAACGTAGGTGAAGCTTAGAGTTTGGGAGAGGCCAATCAGTTCAGCCGAAGGGAAGGTTCTTCCTGGAGGGAAATAGCAAGAGGAAATGGAAATAGGTATAGAGTTTATTTTGATTGATGTGCTAGCTGCTTGTATGTATGAAGACATATATGGTGGGAGAGGGAGATGGTCGATTTTATTTGAAATGAGTAGAGCAGCACCTCCGTGTGCCGTACCATCTGGGTGGTCAGCTCTGACAATATCGTATCCGTTCAGCAGATCTACAAGCACATTGGGTCAGGTTCTATTCCAGCCTTAAATCATTAGATAAATTGTCTATCCCAAGGAAGGTCATAGTTGATGTCATTGGACTAATTACCCTGCATGGTTTCTGCGACGCATATACGTTCGAACTCAAACACCTAATGGTACTGTTTATGTCCAGCTACTGACGTCCAAATCCAGGGTAGCTCCTATGAGCACAACCACCATTCCACGACTCGAGTTGTGTGGTGCTCTTCTCTTGTCTGAGCTAGTCGAAGAAATTAAAGCAGAATTATCAACAATAAATGTCCAGTTTAGTTTAGCTGAAATAGTATTGTGGACCGATTCCACGGTGGTCCTGGGATGGATTCAATCAGCTGTACAACTCAAGTCCTTTGTGGCTAATCGCATAACTCAAATTCTGGACAATACTGAAAGAACAATGTGGCGTCACGTCCCTACATCTAGTAATCCCGCAGATATCATTACTCGAGGTAATTACATAATAAATTATTAAATACATAATTCATGCAGATGCATTAGTCGATCAAAATCATATGTGGTGGAACGGACCAAGCTGGTTACTGGACACAGATGAATTATGGCAAGTCAGATTACTTCCTGAAGAAGACCTGCCAGAGGTGCGTCCTATCAAATTGGTGCTTGTAGCCACCAATGTGGATACAGGTTTTATTCTAAACCGATGTTCAAAGTGGTTAAAACTAATTTATGTAACTGCATATATGCGTAGATTTATATTCAACTGCAGGAAGAACGATAATAATCAACATCTTTGTCACACTATTTCATTAACTATTCCTGAGTTAAATGAAAGCAAGCTATGGTGGTTACGTCGAGCCCAGGCACAAGATTTCAACTCAGAAATAAAATCCTTGCAAAAGGAAAAGTGTGTTGGTCCCCGCAGTTGTCTTAAATCGCTCAACCCATATCTTGATGATGATAACTTGATTAGAGTGGGAGGCAGGCTAACTTATGCTCCAATATCCGAACGTCGAAAATGTCCAATTGTGTTGTCATCTAAAAACTCGATAGTTAAAATGCTATTTCATCATGAACATATTCATTTGCTTCATATAGGTCCTCAGGGATTTCTAGCTAGGACATATTCAAAGGACATATTGGCCCATCAGAGGTAGGAATTTGGCTCGACAAACTGTGCATAAATGTATTACCTGTTTTCGCTCCAAGCCACAATTGCTTCAATCTGTCATGGCTCCATTACCATCAGTCAGGGTCACGCAATGTCGGGCCTTTGTAAATGCCGGCGTTGATCTATGTGGTCCCATCAATATTCGTAGTGGGCTAAGGAAAATTACGCCGCTGAAGCATTAACACTGCAAATAACACTGCCTATTATTTGCAGTGACCCGGTATCCTACAGTGGTCATGTATTGAAGTCTTACCACTGTGACTCACGGAAATAAATATATTGCATATTGTACAATGTGCTTCATATTCATTTCGACCCCTTTTTATGAACGACCATTCTTTGGTGTAATTATCTGAAAAATGACACTTTCTCTTTGGCATTGTTGACTATTTGTAAATTGTAAAACTAAACTAACGTCATACGAAAATACAAAATCACGATAAACGAGAATAGACATCACACGACGTTGGTTAGATTCGAACTAATGCGAACGCATTATATGTAGGGATGGCAAAAAAATATCGATTTATCGATATATCGATATTTCATGAAAAAATATCGATAATTATGTAACGATATTTTCCTTTCGATATTTTTGTGATATCGATAATTATTGACTGGTATCGATAATTTTTCATCCATGAATTTTTTCCATGAACCCATAATTTAATTTTCTCCGTATAAGTTATTTGTATAAGTAGGGATGGCAAAAATATTCCCGACTACGTATAAGGTATAACGTTATATCGTATTAGTCCGTATAACGTATTTTTCTGTGGAAAGTGTTCAAGTGTGGTCCGTGGACTTTGAATTGTGTTTGTGACTGTACATCTGTACCGTAGCCCGTAATTCTGTTTACCACGTCTTGCCGTCTTGGTGAAATTGGTGGTGCTTTATTGATTATATTTGGTAAGTACCTATACATATATTGTTATTATATTATTATTAGTTAATATCGCCTTAATATTCAGGTGATATATTTTTTTAATATTAGTTAGGTAATACAATATTTACTTATATTATATCGAAACTCAAGTCATAACAATTTATATAACCATATATTTATGTAATCATTTATATTAATGAAAAATCAATTATAATTTAGGATTTTAGTCTTAAATCATGGTTCCTAGTAAACTTTGGCGATCGTTTACCAAAATTGATCAAATTTCGGCAGCATGTAATGAATGTAAACAAGTCATAAAAACTTCTGGTAACACATCCAACCTTAAAGCGCATTTGGATAAACGTATTATTATATATATAATATATAATATAGTATACATATTAAATTTAAAAAAAGCAGAAACTGGCTTTGATGCCCCAAAAGGTAACAAACCTGAACAACAAAAAATGTCTAAATTTGTTTCCAACAGTGGAGCCAATAAAAATACTTGCAGAAAAGATGTTTCAAATGATCCAGATGACCCAGATGTAAATAAAAAATAATTATACTTTTTTTATAAATATTATAATGTTAATTTATTTGTGAATTGTGCTTACAGTATGTTTTTCAAGAGGATAGTAGCATTAGTAGCGCAATTGATATAAGTTCAATTGCAAGCTCATCAAAAACAATAGTGTCTATTCCAAATAGTTCTCCTCATCAGAGACAACAAAATATAAATGAAGTGTTCAAGCAAATGTCATCAATGGCTGGTAAAGTTTAATTTTGAATCACTAACATTAAAATTGGTTTAAATACTAATTATACAATTATAAATATATTTTCCTATTAGATTTTTTTTTTTTTTTTTAAGTCGGTGGAACACAACATAAATGCATAACAGATGCAATTGCATATTTTTTATGCAAAGATAATAAAGCCTTCTCAACCATCGAAGGAAAAGGCTTCAGAAATATGGTCAACAAATTAAATCCTTTGTATAAAGTCCCTTGCAGGAATACTATTAAAACATAATATACTAAATTATATAAAGGAAACCAATTTATAGAAAATGTTAAAAATAATCATGTTTGTAATTGTAAATCAGAAAAAATCGTATGATGTCGTCGGTTAATACATTGTAATTCATGTATAAAATGTAATAATAAAATATTTAATTTTACTAAACAAATTATATGTGTAAATACTTTATGTAATATTCCGTGAACATGTAGTCTAATGGGTTAAGGCGTGTAGTAAAAATCCAATATGATAGGTTTAAATAAAAGGTAAGGGTTACTCTATAAACTTAAATATATAAAAAAATATCATTACTCTCAACTCGTATAGACTACATTTCATTTTAATTTTTATTTTTTACGTACATGTTAGTTTTATTTTAGGTTCTACTACTACACATTTTGTAGTAATATTTTACTAAACATTTGTGTTTAATATAATTCATACATTGTGTATAATTATAAACATCGATGATAAATAAGTATACAAATAAAAATAAATACTTTAAATATAACATATATTTTTTTTTATAATTAATTATAATGATGTATAATATAATAATTTTATAATGGATTCTTTGGATTCACCTATCATGATTTCCATTGAAGATATCAATTTATCCGCAGCCTCCCACCCACTACTACAAAATCATTCCCCCACCACGTTCACTCCGACTCAATATAATGAAAATAATTCTTTTTCTGGTAAGCTAATTTCTCAAAGTACATTATCCCCTTTTGTAACTTATGATAATTTATAGAGAATACGATGAATAATGATCTTCAGGAGGATGATGATTTGTGTAACAAGGCGATGGATGCATATGAACAATCTCAGCGTGCCGCTAACGTCATTCAATTAGCTGATAACGTATACGTAGCAAATATTTCACCAGGCTCATCAAAACTTAAATAAAATAATAATACTTGTTTGTGTATGTGGGTGTCTAAATCTATCAAATAAATGCCAAGTTAAATATAAATTTCGTTATTACTAATACTTATTACTATATTAATGTTAATGAATGAAAAAAACATTTGAATACATTCCGTTACAATACGTATCCAGGTTTAAAAATATTCGTACCAGCTTGAGACAGGTGAGAGTGTAATTAGGAAAAATACACTACAAAAACCAAACCGCCGGATGACAATAAATATGAATCAATTAGCGAGAGTTAGGTATGGGTATAATTATGAATAATAAGAATTTTATATATGGTTTACCGGCCAATGGAAATGCTTTGCCAATTTTTCTGAGATTTTACGGAGTAATTATAAGATCCTATCACACTTGAAATCGAAATGAAATCAATGTGTCCTTTAGTCTTCTACTAGTCGCATGTCCGTCTCTACTCGCTCCGTGTTTTCACAGTTCTTTAGCGATTATCACTACATTTTATTTTACCCTTAGTGTTTTTATTTTTATTTTATTTTTTTATTTTTTATTTTTTTTAACATTTCAATATGTTTAAATGTGAACAGTGTGATAAATATTACAACAGAAAAGATATTTTAGTAAGACATGTCAAAGTTCATAGTGGTACACGATTTACGTGTGGTGAATGTCCTGCTACATTCCGCCGTCGCGATTATCTTACAAGTAGGGTTGCGCAAACTGATTACACTATCGATATATCGATACATCGATATATCGATTTCTTAAATATCGATGGCTGATATATATCGAAATAAAAATATCGATATTGATATTCTATTTTGAAATAACTATAAAAATAAAACATTATAGTTTATCCTCAGTGGGGTATTTTCGGTGAAAAAAAGGGGGGGGCGAGCTCCGGATCTTGCCCCCTCCTCAAGAAGAAAAAAACCGTTAGGTTTAATTAATGTTAGTATTATTGTTATTATTATAGGTTTTATTATTAATTAATTCATAAATCATATCTAATATAGGTATATTTCTTTTAACAATATAAACATACTTGTTATACCTATTATATTATATATAACTATGTAAGTCGGATAGTTTCATACTTATCATACACTGATGATACTTCTCTACTTTTCACAGACAAATTGTGGGAAGGAGTTACGATTTGTATAAATGAGGTTCATAAATCTAATACTAAATAATGATAAAACAATGTTTATGAATTTCATTATTGTCAATCCAATATCAATACATAGCTGTACTTATAGTAAAATATGCAACGTAAACACTTGTAATGTATATACATATGTAAATGATAAAAAAAATTAGCCTTTATATTTATCAATCCTTGATAATAACTGAACAATAAAATAACATAAATTAAAATAGTATCTTTCGAATGTAGTACATATATAAATAATAGTTTATATAAAAAATCCTTAAAATTTGTTTAAAAAAAACTCTTAATAACTAATATAGGAACTTTGAGATCAATACAATTCTAAAAAGGCCAATATTTGTTGTCCAACGACTGTAAAAATAATAATTTTGTAAGTGTTCCTCCAGAAAGTCGATTTCTTGACTTAGTAACTGTAGCTCCGGCCTTACTGAAAAGTCTTTCTGTTGGAACCGAAGTTGCCGGTATTACTAAATATTTCATTGCTATCTTGTAGACTCTCGGAAAAGATATTTTTGTTTCTTCCCAATGTTTTAGAGGATCATCATCAATATTTATTACAGGCTTATTTAAATATGCCCGCAATTCATTTATTGAAGTAGTATTTACCATTTTTTTATCATTGTTAGTACAACAAAGATTCCTGTGAAGTCCCCATAAATCATATTTTACTTCGCTTGAATTTTTTTCCTCATCATTAGTTATAATGTTGGAACATGTATATCTTGGATCGTCTGAGTTTTCCAATTCCATGATATTTACAATGAGAGTTTGTGTTTTTGAGTTAATTAATGGGTCCCTTAGATGTAAGTCCTTGAATCTTGGATCTAAAATGGTGCAGATAGCTAATATCGAGTTCTGATCATAAATACTACATCTATAATTTAACTCTTCAAGTAGCTTCTGTTTTAATTTTTTTGCCATTAATATTTCTGGTTTTTGTTTTTCCAGTTCATTTTTTGTACAGGAGATGAGTGGTAATACTTTACTTGACATCACAGACTTTTCCACTGATAATTCTTTAGTAAGCACTTCCATTGGTCCTAACAATGAGCAAATGTCTTTGAGATGTCTTAATTCAGTAGCCGTTATCATATCCGGTGCATCATCCTCTGGAAAATTCATTAAAACATATGATATGTTGTTTGCCAACCTCAAAAACCTTTCCAACATATAAAAGCCACTGTTCCACCTTGTCTTAACGTCCAAAATAAGTTTTAAACATAAGCCATCTTTAATATCTGAAAATCAGAAATTTGTTTTAATTCTTCAGTAAACATGTTTTTCAAGTTATTCATATATTCACAATTTAATACTATCTAATGTATTATAATAGAAATAAACAAATACTAGTTATGTGTACATTATATTAGAAAGTTGTTTTAATTAACTACACATTAAATTTATATAGTTTTGAGTTTATTTTAATTACTTAGACTTTGTTGGTAATTCCTTAGGGCATCACTTGCTTTTGATTTCCTTTTAAAAAATTTAACAATTTCTCGCACTTTGTTAATTATTTGAGGAATACCACCGGTCTTGATATGTGTAACAGTATCAATTTCCTGTGTTTTGTCAATCGCTTTTTCCACTACCAAATTAACCATGTGCGCCAGGCATGATATCTGTCTATCAGAGCCAAAGTTATCAATTACAGTTTTTTTTATATTTGCAGCACTATCACTGACAACAGCTACAACTTTTTCATTTGTTACATTCCAGTCTAGTAAAGTTTTAACCAATATTTCTCCCAAATACTTGGATGTATGACCTTCAAAAAGTTGTACTGTGCCAATTGTAACTGAAAAAAATATTGATACAAATTACTGTTTTACTTTATTAAACCAGTTTACAAGATAACAATTATACCTGATTCTAGCTGTGCTGAATTAATAAAATGTATTGTTATGCCAAGATAGCTTTTCATACTCATCGTTTCCGTCTACGCATCCGTAGTTACAGCTACATACGTTACTTTAGAAATTGTTTCCCGAACTTTAGTGGATGTCACGTTAAATGTTTCGTTGATACGTCGAACAATAGTATCATGATTGGGTGGATTATACAATGGACATAGTGTTTTTAGCATATGTCTAAATCCTTCACTTTCAATGGTATTAAATGATACATTTTGCTTGCAAAAATAATAAACGATACTGTTCGTTATTTTTGATTCTTGTTTCCCACCTATAAAAATATATATAATATTATGAACATAGTATAGGTATTTCTATTTTGCTATGTTTATTATTATATTATAATTTTTATTTTTGATTACACTTTAAATAATTCAAATGTAACACAATGTAATAAAAGATTGGATTGAATTTTTTGAGACAAAACTTTCCTTTAATTTTCATATACTATGCCCTTTAATTTGGTGCACTAACAATATCACTCAAAATCATATAGTCTAACTACTCAACAACTGTCCAGAATAACATTCTAAGATATTTATCATTTAAATAAATTATTATTATTATTAAATTAATTATGATTTTAGGATAAGAATTGTAATAAATTTACCTTTAATAGACTTTATATTTGATATCATATTTGGAAGAGTAAGTTGTTGAGTTTTTGTAACTGAAATTGACTTTGTTTTATTTTGGTCATCTTGTACTGGAAGTACCAATGTACTGGAACTGCACTCATCAAGATCCTGTCAGAATATTATTTTAATTTATTTAGCAATTAGGTTATTAGATTAGGCAGATTAGTAGGTACTTATGAGTACTCTACTAGTATAAGATAATTAATTTATAAAATATGGCCAATGTGGTTGGCCCTACCCCTGGCTACGCCACTGATGTACATATTGACTGATATTTTTACATAATTTTATATAAATTCTTATATGTTTGGTTATACTTACATGCTCCAAAGATACTGGGTCGTCAATTAGAGACGGATCATTAAGTGGTACTATTAGAGATTGAATTTTCTGTTTTTTGTTTTGCGTTTGATCATCTCGGGGTTCTCTTAAATGATTTTCGTAATGTTTTCTAAGATTACCCACTCCTCCGTTGGGTGTCTTGTAATTATTACCACAGATGTTGCATTTATAATTAAATTGATCTTTTTTTGTAAAAAATTTCAGTAGCACAGTTTTAGATGCCATTATTTAGAGTATCAAAGTATTTAAAGTATTTAAGTATCAAATGTTAAATAACAAATAAATAATAATTATAAAATATACTGCGGACTATCTGCGGTCTAGTATTCTATATTAGTGTACTGTGGCACCGACGCACTGTACACTTATTACAATTTACAAATATGAAATATGACTAACAAACCAACACCGGCAACACAGACGATAAAAATAAAACAACAAACGTGTTTTCATACCACAATATTCATTAGGTTATTTTATATTCTGCGTCTGATAATAGTTAAAAATAGACTGTAAATTGTTTGTAATACTAATAACACTATAACGACATAACGTCTATAACAGTAATAACTAATAAGTAATAACCTTTCGGAAGAACTGTTAAATGTAATAATGTATTAATGTTTAATTTTGCCCTTTAAGTTATGTAGCATCACTAGGTGTATTTTGGAAAACGTTTAGTTTTTGTACGATGTTACTGAAATTCGAGATTTGGATAGTATTTAGAAGGCGTAGACGCGTAGTATTAAAAGTATTACTGGATAATTATTTATTAAACTATAAATGTTTGGAGAATTATGATTATTCATAATTTAAAAAAAATTTAAATATCAATGCATAAATATCGATAAATGTGATATGTCACGATTACAAAATATCGATACGATAATATCGATATTTTTCTCCGAAATATCGATATTTCGATAATATCGAAAATATTTGCGCAACCCTACTTACAAGACACGTGAATGTCAAACATGGTATGTATTTCAATATTTTACTTTATTAATAATTTTAAATTTAGTTGTTTTTTTTTTCGACAAATGTTCAATAAAATAAATAATTCAACTATTATTTTGTAAGTTATCAATCGCGTTCAACCACAAGAACAACGTGAATTTAATGAAATTGAAATAGCTCCACAAATTATTGTACCAGACATTTAAGCCGGACCGTCTAACGACCGTTCAGAAGAAACATGGTTTGATGATGGTTATAACGAATTGATTTATAATCTTGTTGATTTATGTGTAATATGCATATATTATTGAGAAATAAAAGAAAATCCATTAGACATAAACGTAGGCGATTTTATATTATTAAAACAAAACGCACATAGAACTAAACTAGAATCACTTTGGCTAGGACCATACGAAGTACTAGATATTATAAATGAACATAACATTATTATTAAAAAAGGACGTAAATCTATTACAGTCCATAAAAATAACGTAAAAATATATCACAATAATTAAAAAAAGAAAAAAAAGAAAAAAACAAGGAAAGAAAAAAGAAAAAAAAAAAAAAATAATAATAATAATAATAATAAAATAACAGTATAGTTGTAGTTCATAGTATGGGTTGTGGTTAACAAGAATTTATGATGTATAATTGAAAAAAAAAAAAAAAAAATATATATATTAATTAACCAAATATTGTAAAATATTTCCAACCCATTGTAAACCAGTTGTAAGGGTGGAAACTTAAACCTTGTAAATACTAATTTTGTAAATTGTATGCCGAAAATTGAATTGTAAGGAACAACATAACATTTTTGTCGTTTCACCCCAAAATTGTTTCTTTAGCGGCGAGGTGTAATATGCATATATTATTGAGAAATAATAGTACGCATATTCCTGAGTCGTATAAGGAAAAACGTACTATTGCACAACCTAATGGGCGCCACGCGCGAATTTCAAACAACCACAACAACATCATCATTCGAGGCCAAGGGTAACCAAGTGATGAAACATCACTTGGATATGAAGATCAAGACCAAGGACAGCCACGTGTCGAAAACAACACAATTAAAACAGAATCAACAGAGTATATAAAGGCTCCGTTTCACCACCAACGGCAGACGTGTCCAGCTATCAGACCAAGCCCTTCTGAGTTTCGTTTTGATATTGTTAACGCGTAATTTTATAATTTATATTTTTGTATCTATGTCTGTTTCTGTAATTGTATTTATTAAAGTATTTACAAGTGTTTGAAATAATTGTTTAATCAAATTTATCCCGATCCAACAACATCATTACGATAGGTACCTGTTTTTATTGGGTACCACGTAACATATGTGAGAATACAGGTAAGATTATTTTTAAATATTATATTCTAGTTTGTGTATAGAGATAGTTAGATAGAATGAATTTCATTTGTAGGTCTCTCAAACTATGGTACGAACCAAAACACGACATATAATAGACGGAATAAAAGGGCACGGCTAGATTTGGTTGGAAAAGCTGTTGAATTTGTTAATGTGGGATCATCTTTTAATAACTATATAACATGGTATTATAAGAAAAACACTAACAATATTATCAATCATTCAGTATTTCTGGATTCAATAAAATCCGAATTGTTAGAATTATTAAAATCATTATCCCTGCCTATCAAATTCAATCTTAAATTGGAAGCTGTATATAATAAACCTAATATTGAAAATTCGTCCGTGAATAGGGCTTTTAAGACCTCGGCGAGAGCGATTTTTAATAATACTAATGTGGAGGAAAGTGTCGATGATATATTTATCACAGTTTTAACTGAGGAGGAAGCTTATCAAGGGAAAGGCAGCGGGTTCACTCTGGAATTGATAGATGGATTATTACTAGGTGTATATAAATATACTCCATTAGGTGCGAGCTCTTTTATTGACTTACCTAAAGATATTCAGAATAAAAAAGCAGTTATTAATCCTCAAAATTCAGATAATCAATGTTTCAAGTGGGCTATACTAGCTAAGCATGTTACAGACGAAAATAAACAACGAGTCGGTCAAAACTATTTTAATCACGAACAAAAATACATATTCACTGGAATATCATATCCCACTCCAATAAACGAAATTAAAATATTTGAAAAAAATAATAATGTTTCAATAAACATATACGGTCTTAAAAAATCTAAAAAAGATCAACATTTGGTTTTTCCACTACGTGTTGTTGAACAAAAACTAAATCATTTCGATTTATTGTTATTAAAAGATGAAGATAGGTCGCACTATACTTATATTTCAAACTTTTCCCGGCTTACTCGTGCACAAAAAACTCTGCACAAGGAAAGTGTAATATTTTGTAAAAGGTGTTTTTCATCTTTTGACAGCAGACAAAAAAATAAATTCAATGACCATATCCGAATTTGTGGTGATCATAAACCCATACTTCCAATTATGCCAGCAGAGGGGGCTTCACTAGAATTTGATGCGTGGAGTAAGACCCAACGTTTGCCATTTGTAATATTTGCAGATTTTGAAGCCCTCCTTTTAAAAATTAATAAAAAATGTGGTAAGAATACAACGGCAATCCAATCGCATAAACCAATGAGCTATGGCTTTATGGTTAAAGCTGCAGCAGATGTTCCACTCGAATTACTCGAAAAGTTTAATATTCCACAGACTCCAATCATTTATTGAGGATCTGAGAACTCAGATAACGTTGCAAAACACTTTTTGCAAGCTATTGTGGAGGTTGCACAAAGTTATATAGATTATTGAAAACAACCAATATACCGATAAACATGAGTTATGATGAACGTCGAAAACATATATCTACGACCAAGTGTGATTTATGTAAAATCAACTTCACTTTTTCGAATAACAAAGTTGCACATCACGATCATTTATCGGGTAAATTTTTAAAAAATTTATGCAACACATGCAATTTGAAATTAAAGACCCAAATATTTTTTCCGTGTTTCTTACATAATTTATCAAAATACGATGCTCATTTTATAGTAACAGAGCTGGGATATGACTCGCATAAAATAAATGTCATTCCTCATAGTGAAGAAAATCTCATTTCTTTCTCGAAATATATTAGCAACGATTTTACAATTAGATTTATAGACAATTATAGATTCTTGGCATCCAGCTTGTCTACACTTGTGTTGTATTAAGCAATACTGTAAATTCGTAGTCATGACATATTGTAATTTTTTTTTTTTTTTTTTTTTTAATTATTACAATAAGGTATTCCTAGCTTACGCTATCTATACCTAGAGATGAAAGATAAAATACATTTTGGCGTAATTAAGTGCGATAAATAAATAAGTTACAATTTTACATTAGATGATAACAGTAGTTAGAGAATTAATTAGATAGTGTCTTGAGGAATTAGGTCATGTGGGCGACCTCGTTTGAGACGGCGCTGTGGAGGTGGTCTGGTGTTGATGTGGTAGTGCATTGAGCCTGTTGACCTATGGATGGATTCGAAGAAGCTCACAGCCGTGAGCTTGATGTGGTCTTGAATGGTTGAAATTTTAAGATCTTTGTGTATGCTTGAGTTCCTTACAAACCATGGGGCGTTAGTTATCGTTCTTAAGACTTTGTTTTGAAATATCTGCAGTTTTTTGAGATGAGTTTGTGCGCAATTACCCCAAACAGGGCAGGCGTAAGTGATTAATGGACGTAGTACTTGCTTATAAATAAGTAGGGAAAGGTTTTTTTGTAGGGAAGACTTTCTGTTTAAGATAGGGAAGAGCATCCCTAAACGTTGATAGGCTTGTTGAAGTTTAGTTGAGAGGTGTGGCCACCAGGTTAATCTTTTGTCCAATGTTACACCGAGGTACTTGACGGATGGCTTCCATGAGATTGGCTCATGGTTAAAAATTAACGGTGGTGGAGTAGGATTACGGCGTAGACTGAATAATACACTTACGCTTTTTGATGGATTAATTGATATTTTCCAGTTCTTGCACCAGGCAGATAATGTATTTAAGTGGTTTTGTAGGTGTACAGATATTACTTCTGGGTTGCGAGATTCAGAGTAGATGACAGTATCGTCCGCAAAGAGGGCTATGTTTGTGTGCAGTGATTGCGGGATGTCGGATGTGTAGATGTTAAATAATGTTGGGCCAAGTATAGATCCTTGTGGGACGCCAGCTACGATTGGTTGGAAAGAAGAAAAGTTGTCATTTATTTTAACAGAAAATTGCCTGTTAGATAGAAACGAAGTTAGGGAGTTGAGTAGGTAATATGGTGTGTTGATAATTTTGAGCTTGTACAACAACCCATGATGCCAAACCTTATCAAAGGCTTTTGATATGTCAACGAAAACGGCACCCGTGTGACAGTGTTTTTTCATATGAGTTGCTTATATGTTCAGTTATGCGCATGAGTTGCT